ACCGATTTAATGACCTGGTCGCTCTGCTTGACCACTTCGTGAAGCTGCCGCAAAGAGGTCACTTTGGTGTCCTCCAACTCCTGCCGCTGCGTGTTGGCATCTGCGATGCAGGTCCGGTAGGTGGCCATGGCTTCTTCCGCCTAGAATTGGCAAGGAGTTAAAACTGCAGAGTGGTAAATATGGGCAAGGACAGGGGCACCCAAAGTGTGGACCCGTTCTGTGTTCAATTCTGCCCAGTTCCTGCTCCCTGAATAGTCCAGAGCTACTGCTGAGAATCTTCAAGTCATTTCCAACTTATGGTGACCCTAAGGCAACCCTCTCATGGGGTTTTCTGGGGCTGAGAGAGTGTTTTGCCACCTTGACCACACTCTGATTTTGCCTGGCCAAAGGCGTCCTGTAAAATGTTAGAGGGTATGCACTTGCTATTTTAGACAAAGTATCTCGGCAAAAGCCAAACTGATTTCCTTGCCGTTGCTCTGTAGTTTTGTGAACTATTTAACTTTCTTTGGGTGCATCAACATTTTCGAAATAATGCAGCTTGACACCCCTTTTAACCGCCATGGCTCCATCCTCCAGAATCCTGGCATCTTTTGGGCAGCGCCAACCCTAGTCAGCAGAGAAGGCTCCAGACTTTGTAAAAACTACAAATCCCAGGAGTCCAGAGGATGGAGCTGCAAGACTAAAAGTACATTATTTCAACAGTGCGCATGCACCCTTTGCTTCATTCCCAAAAGTTGACTGGGGTGTTTTCCTGTGTAACTGGGACAATTTGGGGACATAAAATATATATTTTTATTTGTTTTTATTTCAAGGATTTATATCCCATCTTAATAGGATTCAATGGGAATGGACTTGCTTGTTGTCATTGTTGTGTGCCTTCAAGTTGTTTCCTACCTATGGCAACCCTAAGGAGTTTTCTTGGTGAGATTTGTTCAGAGGAGGTTTGCCATTGCCTTCCCCTGAGGCTGAGAGAGCGTGACTTGCCCAAGGTCAGCCATTGGGTTTCAATGGCTGAGGTGGGAATTGAACCCTGGTTTCCAGAATCACAGTTCAATGCTCAGCCTCAAACCACTATGCCAAGCTAGCTCTCAATTCAAATTAGACACTCACAAAAAGGTAATTCTTGTGGCTGAGCTGGGATTCGAACCCTAGCCTCCAGAGTTGTGCAACACTCACAATGTCATGCTGGCTCGCTGGAATTGACTTCTAGCCCCCCAACCCCTGCCCCAAAAGACTTGCACCCCCCAATTTCAGGGGTGCATCTTCCCCTCCTGGCCCCTTCTGCCGCTTGCCTTGTTCCTGGCTTCCTCCTCCAGGCGCCGCTTCTTGTCCAGGGCCTTTGTGGTGGTGGTCCCAGGGCCCCCAATGCCTCCGCTAGACCCCAGTTGCTCTTCTTCCGCTTTGGCCGCCACGTGCTTGGCCTTCTCGCTGTCCTCCGAGCGCTGCATGTAGGTCTGCTTGGCCTTGCGCAGGTTGTTCTCTGCTTCTTGCTGCAAAGCGAGAGGAGGAAAGAAGCAGAATCAGCACCAGAGCAACAACCAGTCCCAGAGTGTACCATCTACACTACAGAAATGATGCAGTTTGACACCACTTTAACTGCCATGGCTCCATGCTAGAGAGTCGTGGGATTCGCAGTTTTGTAAAATATTTAGTTTTCTCTGGGTGCATCTAGACTGTAGAAATAATGCCATTTTGACACCACTTTAATTGCCACGGCTCCATTTTATGGAATCATAGGATTGGTGAGTCAGTGAAGTATTTTAGCTTTCTCTAGGTGCATAGAAACGGTGCAGTTTGACACCACTTGAACTGCCATGCCTCCATTCTACAGAACCCTGGGATTTATAGTTTTGCAAAATGTTTAGCTTTCTCTGGGTGCATCTACACTGTAGATTAACGCAGTTTGACACCACTCAAACTGCCATGGCTCCATCCTATCGAATCCTGGGATTTGTAGTTTTGCAAAATATTTAGCTTTTTCTGGGGGCATCTACACTGTAGAAATGGTACAGTTTGACCCCACTTTTAACTGCCATGGCTCCATGCTACAGAACCATGAGATCTATAGTCTTGGGAAATATTTCACTTTCTCTGGGTGCATCCACACTGTCCAAATGATGCAGTTTGACACCACTTTAGCGGCCATGGCTCCATCGTAGGATTTGTAGTTTGGTGAGGCACCAGCACTCTTTGACAGAGAA